CCTGCTGAAGGCTCTGTCCTCTGTACAGAATGTGCTATTTTTAAACCAATACTGTAAGCCCTTGAAAATAATAATCCAACATTGCAAATGGCAGTGACCCATTAAAGGTTTTCATGATTTTTTATTGTTGTTAGCAGGGTAAAAACAAAGTTGAATTTGGAACTGGTGGTCATATCATTGATTTTGCTCTTGACCTGGACACATCATTGGTTTTGACCTCTCTCCTGTATGACAGCTATAATAGCTGTTTTCCTAATCCATGGTAAAGATTAGGATCCATGTAGGGATCATCCATAACAGTTGAATCTCACAAATGAAGACATGGCATGTGTTCTGCCATGGGGTTGGAGAGGTCTCATGTGAATTTGTCTCGGAGATTGGCTTTCTGTGGAATGTTTTGGTATTGCCTGTTAAGATAAAGATGCCAGATCTCATGGTTTTTAATCCATTCCTCAACTTACTCAACAGACCTACACTTTGTTTCTTATTTTGTGACAAATTTCTATTGTTCACATTTCTATCCATTTTTATAAGTAGCCAAGAATCTTTGCAGTTTGACTGGATGGATAGAAGTAGTCGCTAAAGGGAACTTAAAACCCTTTAGAATAGGCAACAACACAGGGAGGGTACATCTGAGCTGTGTAGGAAATGCTAACTAGAATGACAAGGGTGGCAATCCATGTGAACTGAAGTTTTGACAGAGCAGTTAGGCTATTTGACAGAGCAGTTAGGCTATGATGTTGACAAATGTAGAGGAGAAAGGGGCTACCAAGGCCACAGGTGTCAGCCTGACCCAACAAAGAAGAAAGCTGCTGTCGTGCCATAAGAGAGAGTTGATGCATTGGTGCATAGGTTATACTTTGTGGCTCCATCTGTGTAGTTCTTTCTCTTAGCACAGTGTGATTTGGGGGAGGGGGGGACAGTCTGTGTCAGTACTTGCACTGCAATTGGTGAGTCCTAAATGGTGTTTGAACAAGAGGATCTGTTCAAAGTACATTGATAGAGGGATTGATTAATTACTGACTAGTCTTCAAGGTTGATTTATTATAGTTTGGGGTTTTGTAGATAGGAAAAATGTTTTTGTCAGTTCTGAGAAGGAATAATAAAACCAAATAGGGTTGAGCTTTTATGTAAAGCAGCAACATCCTAAATATATAATTATTATTGTTATTACTGTGACCTAAATGGATTTTTTAATGTTTGGGGTTTTTTTTCTATTTTCATGGAGTCACAGGTTTCTATTTCAATGCAGAATTGTGAAAGCAGTTCTGTTATTAAAGTCTGATTATCAAAAGCCTCTATTCCTGCATAAACTTTGGTTTTCTCTAGGAAAATGCTATTCTGTTTGTACAGATTGCTAGGTGAGGGTCCAGTGTTGATTGCCTCAGAGACTTTGATTCTCATAGAGTTGTGTAACAGCTGGAGGAAGCACTGGTGATGTCACATCTTCTCAGTAGTAATTCAGCAACCCCCAGTCCTTTGCAGTAGATGCTTTCATCTTTTAGGGAGGGAGTAAGGAAGGAAAGACAGAGTAGTATTCCTTCATCTTCACTTTAGTATGAAAGGTCTTTCCTTTACTGTACCTCTAGTTTTAACATGGGTTAGAAGGGCCAAATGCAAAATGCAACCTGTCTTCTTTACTCTAGGATTTTCTGTGGTCATGTATTGGGTGATG